GTTAGCGTTTATTTTCGCCACTTCAGCAAACTTGAGTCTAGCAAACGCAGTTTCGCTGAAGTAGCGAAATATTTTTTTTCCGTGGATCTTACTCTATTCGCGACAGATCTTACGCTACTCGCGACGGATCTTACTCTATTCGGGACAGATCTTCCTCTATTCGCGACAGATCTTACTCTATTCGCGACAGATCTTACGCTAATTGCGGCAGATACCGCCTAAAGCAACAAAAAAAATAATCATGAGGATTAGATCCCGCGCCTGCAGCATGTGGGCCAGGCGCGCTACACCTCGTCCACCGTGTCATCTGCCGAGAAGGGTCTCCAGTTGCAAACACTATCCGCCGCAGCGCTGCGTACCCCCACCCTTGATCCATGGAACCCTGCGCCTGTGCAGTCCTTCCTGCCCCGAGTCACGCCGCCCCTCTAACCTCTTCACGAAAGCGAATCAAAACAAGGTGGCGGAACGGGTTCGAGTATGAAAAATTGGCAACCACGCAACTGTTGGCGCGCAATTCAAACAACCAGGAGAGGCAACGGTGGCCAAAGGTCAATTTTTCGGCTGTTTTTTGCTGTTTTCTGGGTGCACCGACACACGTTGGGTCCTGTGGACGGCGAACGAGGCAAAAAAGATTCCCAATATTTTAGGGCATTAAAGTAGATGGTCTGAGGAGCCTTCCCACCAAGTTTGAAGCAAATCGAAGATGAGGTATTTCGGGTATAGCAAAAACCGATTTTTTCAGTTTGAGAGAAAATGATAAAATGTTCATGGACCTTAAGGGACGTTTTATGACTTGATTTGATTCATTTTTTTGTGCTCTTTCCAACGGTGTACTCGGTTTTTATGTAGCTTTAAAATTGGCCGAGATATTTCAGCTTTTTGAAAAAAGTGTAACTTTTTTCAAAAAAGTTGTAAAATTTTCAAATGCTTATATCTCGGAAACGGCTTGAGATAAAGTGCTAATATTTTGCAGGGATCCAAAGGGCACTAGTAAGAATCGATTCACCGAGTTTGAGCGAAATCGGTGAGGTCGCGCCGAAAAAGTGTTATTCGCTTCCGTGGAATTACCCAGCAGGCGTTCAAAGGGTCAACCTCGCACTCGCACGCCCAAAGTGTCTTCCTGCTGTCTTTCCTCCCCGTACCATTGAAGGGGCCACGCGGGGTGCGACCACGAACATGCCACAGACGTGTCACTGCAGATTTTTGCAGAAATTGCACCGGGCGACCGATACTAGATGGCTGGAGTCATGGAAACCCTTACGAAAATCGCTCTAAATCCCCCTGACCTCGTTCGACACGCTTGCCGGAAAGCCCCGTACGAACGGTTGTAGTTGCTTGCGGAATTTTGTAGCCTCGGTGCACCCGCCTCGTGTGGAATGGATTGGATTCCTTCGATGCAGCTGATTCTGCTTTCGTTTCCCACTAGCAGCGCGGAACTAGTGGCATTGCGCTGTGACGTGCAAGCTAGGGCAAGGACGCCTGCGAACCGTACTCTAAATGTCTTACAATGAAATTTGACCTATGTTATTCGTATGTTACAGTAAATTCGGCGCAAGCATAATACGAAGCAATATTCCTTCGTGATACGAATCTTTTTGGCTTTTTCATTGTAAGATACAAAGAAAAACCTTCGGAATACGAAGAAAAACCACCTTCGTTTTATGCTTGCGCCATTTCCTTCGTATTATGGGAAATTTCTTCGTAAGACGTTTAGAGTGCAACCGACACGCACCGCTGCGCGGCGGAACGGCTGCACAGCCCCTGCTGCAGCTAGAGCCCTACATACCCCTTCGGGGTTACGGTGAGAGATATGAAAGAGGTCGGGGATAGGGGTCGGCATGTTTTGCTTGTCCTAACACGCAACAGCGGAAGGGGTGGCTGAGAGGTATGGGGATTATTAGGAAAAACGAATACATATTTGCACTTTTATTTTGCTTAAAACAAGGTCTATTACTGGCGACGATGGCGGCGATCACGCGCAGCCTCAAGCTCTTGAACGATGCGCTGTCTTGTCACCCTACCGCGAGCCATTAAACCGCGGACCTGTGCTCCAGGGTTATCTTCTTCACCATCTTGATCATGGTCATCTCCATGCACATTGTGATTCCGCAGCAAGTGGTTCGGCATATTCTCAAAGTGAGGAATTTGGGTCAAGACTCGCAGATTGTGCAGCACGGTGATCGCCACAATAAAGTGGCACGTCGAAATGGGGTCATAGTGCAGCTCACGCTCGTCATTAATAGCTCTGCAAATAAAACCAATATAATGTTTAAAATAGATGCGTACACTGTCTACTTACACACTAGAGTGGAACTCTAATAATTCCCTCGTAAACCTTCCATGTAGGATCAGTGCACCTTGCTGAATCTCACCTAAATACCCCTTTCATTAAGCCAATGCACCTTTCAACAGCATTCCTGTCGCTCATGTGTGCCTTATTGTATCGGGACTCAGGCGTGCCCTCCCGGGGTCTTTCATCCCGTGCAAAAGGTGTCATAATCCAAGGTTCCAAGGGGTATCCAGAATCTCCTGTATCGAGTGGTTAGGGACAAAAACACCATTAATTACCATCAATATAGAACGACTGAGCTGCACATTGATGGATCATTTGTGAAGACGAACCCTGTAGGTGACATCGACGCACGGTGTGGAGCTGCTCCATCTGACGCCGAACTGAGCTTGAATTCCATGTTGTTAATGTACAAGCGACGATCACAAGTCTGTGAAAAAAGAACCCAATTTCCTGTAGCAATCACTTCCTTCAGTTTTAAAATTCAGGAGGGCATTTCAGAGTGTCAATGAAACTTACAACTTGCACATTCATACTTGCAAAACTCTTCCTACCCATAAATGCATGTCCATGGTTTTCAATAGACGGCTTCATAATCTTCATGAGAGTGCCATCGGTATAAGCAAGTGTGTTGTCGATCTGACCACCCAACATGTTATTCCTGCAGTAAACAAAAAAAAAATAGGACACATTCTCCAATCCAATTTACCAATCATAACTTAAACTGCTCTGCTGGCCCTTACCTCTCGACACAGATGTCGGCTTCCTCAGCAGTCATAGGAAACCTAATGAGACGAGTTGCAATCTCGGGAGAGTTTAAGGCCTCCGTTATTTCATCAATGTAATTTGACTCAGTTAGCTGTGCTATGCAGGCATCGTGGTTCTTTCCCGTTGGGTGTTGGTATGACCCTGTAGCGAAGAAACTGAGCACAACCAATACCTGTGGCACAGTTCAACAACATTTTATTATAAATAAACCCTGCTCCGAGTATTGTCACCTTGAACTATGCGCCAACTAACCTTCTTCTCCAGAGGCAGTGCAAGGTCACTGGATCTCCTTAAGACAAGAGGCCTGATGAGATCCACCAGACTTAATACCACGTCCTGTGATAGCCTGTACGACTTCACAAAGGACTGGTAGGTGACCAGGGCCGGACTGGCTCCGATTAGCTCGAAACTGGCACCATTGGTTTTTTCTCGTCGCCCCGATTCCAAAAATACCCCTACATGCCCTCCTAGCTGCATCCGTTGCCGAGATCCTCCCCGACCCCATGTAGACCATGATGCACCTGCAGCAGCGCCCCCGGGGCTCGGATCGGATTTGCTGTCACCGGGCGGTTCTTAGGGTCCCCCAAGGAGGCTACACACCAAATTTGGTCAAGATCGGACCACGGGAAGTCCTCGGACGGACGGACGGACGCACAGCAGGGATCATACTATATGCCCGTCCCTCCGTCATTTTTTTTTTACAAAAAATAAACGGGACGGGCCAAAAATAGTGATATGCATTTCTTTTGTCATTAAATCATTCATCTTAGTTGTAAAAATATTTTCGAATTAAAACATGTCATAATATGTACAACTTACCTTTTTCAGGAGAGGCAACGCAGTAGTCATGGTCTGGTGCGAGGAAAGCGAAGGGTGGGCCAGTTGGGCCAGGCTGAACGGCTTGCTCCAAGACTCCAACATTTTCCTTTCCTACCAAAATTAAGTCCAATGTAAGTTACAAACAATACATAAGTGATTTTTACGCCATGTTTTTTAAATTGAAAATGATACTTAGTGCCCTTTTTTACTGTGCACAGTGATGCGAAACAACCCACCTGTCATTTCCTCAAGTTGCGTTAGGCTGCTGCTAGGACCTGGACCACCAACACAGTCATCAACATCACGGTCAGCACTTTCCAGTCTTGGAGCGGGATCATCAACATCATCTCCGCCAATAGAGTCTGAATTTTCCAATCCTGAAAGACACAAAAATTTGAGTAATTAAAGTAGGGGCGCGTCAGGGCTCTAGTGTGTGTGTATGCTAGTGCTATGCGAAGTTCGTTTGCTGGTTTCTTTAATCCTATCAATCAATGGGAGGGAACGATATGAACTAATTTTTTTGGGAATTTCACTTGGACTCACCTCTGTTGATGGGAACAGCATCATATTTCAGCTTGCTGTCCTTTCGGCTCAAAGTGGTCAGCACACACCTCATGCCTGTGCAGCTGTGCATCTGTCAGTGTGAACAAGTGTGCATTGCCCAACTCTTACAGCCAGCTATTTTTCCTGCGTAAATAATTAGTATACTAATTTTGATGGATTTTCTGTCATGACTCAGAGCTGATATCAATAATAATTTGTTAGAAAAATTGAAGTATGAGCAAAATTACAAATTTAGACATTGAAATTTGAGTGTTAGATATTTGGCTGAACCTTGGCAAAACTCTTCACCCTCTGCGCTCACTTGATTGATCATTGCCCAGCCCGTTGGCGTAGCTGGTGTGAGGGGATGAGGGGCTTTGCTAAGGCTCTGCTGAACACACCTGTTATAAAGGGAAATGCGATGAAACCGCCGCTGGCAATTGTTTCTGGTGTTTTTGCACCCTTTCAACGCGCACTTATTTTCCCCCATTTTAGAACGAATCCACTGCCAAAACAATAGCCGTTGCCCGGGTGACCTCCGTGAAGCTGGCAGAACCCAATATTGCACAATTGATCGGACATGACTCAAAAAATTGAGCACGAATTGAGCAATCGATTGCACTATACCGTTTTAATTGTGCATGCTCGGAACAGTACTTACAGCGTCTTGCTATTGGGTTCTGCTGGGTTCACGCCAGCAGCGCCCAATCGAGCTACAGCAACGAGACAGGTGAGCGATTCTCACGTTTCGGGGTAGTTTTGGCGTCTCTGATTTGCCGAAAGTGAGAAATATCCAATTAAGTTTTTCTGATTATTGGGGTCCTGGATGATACTAGAGTTATGGCAATGGTATTTATAGTAAAGACCTTGTACTACCTTCCTAAAAACATGAGCCATAAGGTATTCCCACACGTTTTAGTGGGTGTTTTGATCACGGAAATTACGTTATCACGGAAGTTACAAAGTTTGAAAATCGGCTTTAACGGCTGACTCGGGCTTGCTGTGGTTTAAAAAGTCGTTCCAGGGTCAAATGATACTCTAAGCCCGACATTTAGCGGGAATTTTTTTCACCTAGTCTGCTGCAACATTGGGTAAAGGGTGCCACGGAAGTTACAGGTAATTGTTGATACACGCCATTTTATAATGCTCTAGCCCGCTTTGAGACCGTGTACAGCATCTTAGATTTCCGGACCCATGCAATTATATCCCAGGGACTCCACTTTGATGGCTTGTGTCAGGGAAAGTTAAAAGTTTGGCTTGGGGAGAAGTCCAGAGCTGCCTTTTCGAAATTGTGTAGTGAAATTGAATAACGGAGGACATTTTTCGTTGCAGCATAAGTACCTTTGAAAGAAGTCTGGCGTTTGGTCTTGGGTTTGAAATTAGCTCGAGACATGCCAAGCTTCGAATCCCCATCGACAGTTGGCAGCATTTTCGAACCACACCGCCACACTGGGGGCGGAAAGTTCGAGTATGTTCTCTTTGGACAATCACGGAAGTTACATTTAGGGTATTCCAAACGCTACGTAGACCAATCCAACGAACGTGAACTTTTCGAAATGTGTGCGTTTAGTGGGCAATGGCCCTCCCTAACATCAGAAACAAACCCCATGTCGATATTTGCGCTCGTTTGGGCACAGGAGTCAGAAGAAACGAAACTACCCCGTAACGTGAGAATCGCTCTCGTGCCAAAAAATTGAGCACGAATTGAGCAACCGATTGCACTATACCGTTTTAATTGTGCGTTGAAACGAAGGTCATAATCCACCACAATCGTTTACCCAGGTAACACTTACCAGCAGCGCCCAATCGTGCTACAGCAACGAGACAGGTGCCAAAAAATTGAGCACGAATTGAGCAACCGATTGCACTATACCGTTTTAATTGTGGGTTGAAACGAAGGTCATAATCTACCACAATTGTTTTCCCAGGTAACACTTATCAGCAGCGCCAATCGACCTTCGTTTCAACGCACAATTAAAACGGTATAGTGCAATCGGTTGCTCAATTCGTGCTCAATTTTTTGGCACCTGTCTCGTTCTGTAACACGATTGGGCGCTGCTGGTAAATGTTACCTGGGAAAACGATTGTGGTGGATTATGACCTTCGTTTCAACGCACAATTGAAACGGTAAAGTGCAATCGGTTGCTCAATTCGTGTTAAATTTTTTGGCACCTGTCTCGTTGCTGTAGCTCGATTGGGCGCTGCTGGCGTGAACCCAGCAGAACCCAATAGCAAGACGCTGTAAGTACTGTTCCGAGCATGCACAATTAAGGGGAGGTTCTGGTGAAAATCTTGCCATTTTCAAAATGGATCCTACAGTCATAATTTGTTCGGAATATAAAATTTTTCATTGAGGAGACTAAAATTTGACTTTTAAAGGCACATGCCAGGCTGTAAACCCAGTCGAAGAGTCTTTTTGAGCCTATTTTGGCTGTATCTTAAAAAATCTTCTTGCGCATACTATTTTGTCGTAAAAGGTTGACCTTGACATTTTTCACTTCTTCGACTCATTTTCAAAAGATTCCGGCATGCAGAGCTCAAAACTTCCATTATATTATTAGTTGTAAGCTTTTTAAGCTGAAAAGTCCCTAAAATTTGTCTATTTTGTACATTTTTGATCAATTATAGTGAAATGCTTGGTTGAAAGCTTGCGAAAAAAAGCAATTGACATTTGAGTTGCATGCCGGCATTTTTAAAAAATGAATTGAAAAAGTGAAAAAAGTCTAAGCCAAACCCTTTTTAAAACAAAATGCATGCGCAAGAAGATTTTTAAGTTATAGCCTAAATGGGAGAAAAAAAGGGTCTGCGACTGGGTTCAGGCATAGAATGTGCCTCCCCAATGAAAAAATTTTTTAAAAAATACTTGATAAGACATCAAATTTTTAACAAATTTTCACAGTGGGACCTATATAGGAGAAAATAGCATTTTCACCAGAACCTCCCCTTAAAACGGTATAGTGCAATCGATTGCTCAATTCGTGCTCAATTTTTTGAGACATGTCCGATCAATTGTGCAATATTGGGTTCTGCCAGCTTCACGGAGGTGCCCGGGTGCTCGGCGGCGACGGGCCACCGGCCACGCTAACACTGTTGGTGTTCGCCACGAGGAGTACAATGGGACGGTGTGATTGAAAACACTGTGACGTCGTCTGAATGGGCGCCACCTGCACTCCCGCGCTTTCGAACCTCTCGTTTTTTTTTTTTTAATTTCATGGCTTTTGTCTCGTCTTAGTATGACACTTAAAAGCTTAACTTTTCTCGTTCACCCTCCTTTGGCGTTTTGTGGCTTGCAAACTTTGTGTCTGCCATGGCTTGTAATACTTGTGTGTACAGGATGTGAAATAAAGAGAAAACATTCGATAATTCTCGTTTTCATTCTAGTATTGATCATTTTGTTCTTAACTGCATCCTTCCCCATCCAACGTTCCCTCGAGCCGTACACCCAAAAAACTGTGGTGCAAGGTGAAAGAAGGGCGCACAGTGCGCACAATTCAAA